GCCGGGCGGCCGGGCCCGGGCGGCGGCCCGTGACTCACTCGCGCGGTGACCTTAGTCGCCCTGCCGCTGGCCGCTGCGTCCAGAGCGGGGATAGGCAAGTTTCGGAGAGAGCGCGCTGACAGCCGGCCCTGGTGCGGCCTCTGCCCCACTCGTGGTTACGCTCGATGGGACGGGGCGCCCACTCACGAGGACAGTCGTTTCCCCGGGCCGCCGTCAGGGCCCCTGAGATGAGGTGGCCGGGGGCTGACCGGCGTGGGCGAGCGGGGCCAGCGGGCTTCCAGGACGTCCGTGGGACCGACATCATGGTGTTACTGGGCGTCTGTAGAGGGTCCCCAGGCCTTGCCGTGCAGGCCTCGGGCAGGCCCATTTGTAGCAGGAGCCGCAGTGACTGTAGCTGTGGCATGGAGGTCACACCTAATGCAGGGCTCCGGTCCACGAGTAGGGCGCCCGCACTCACACCCCCTCTGCGCCTCTCTTTTTACGTTAATGTATCCGAGTTCCTTATGGCTAAGATTGGAGTAAAGGTAAATTTGCCCTATAAAATTGAGAGACTCGGGTGAAATGATGTATTTCAAGGGGCTTTACAGTTTATAGTGGTACCGCAAGAAGTAATGTTACTCGAAGCTTTCAGCGGTTACGGCTGGTTGGCCGCTCAGACCTTTGAGCGGCGGTGGGCGGGGCACTGAGCAGCAAGGACACTGACGCCCGGCCCGGGGCTCCGGTACCCCCGTTAGATGTTTCTGCTGTCACAGCACTCTGTCTCTTGCCTATTACGGATGGTGAGAAAAATCCTTGGCCACTTCACGTTCCCATAGCACGTTTAAGGTTTAAAAGTGATATGAATTTGTTTTGTGGTTGTATCATTTTGGGAACACAAATGTTTCCTGTGGCTGCGTTCTCCGTTAACACAGACACGAGGGGCTGAGAGGGGTCAGACAGCAGGTCTACTGTGGGAGCAACAGGGACTCCAGAGCCCAGGGGACCCAGGGCTGGACAGTGGGGAGCAGGGGCCCTGAACTCCTGGAAATGACACTTTCCAGCTGGGTGCTGCAGCCGTTACCCCATTTCCCCTATGAGCATCTTACATCAATCATTACGGTTCTTTGTCACAGTTAGTAAACTAGCTTTGATACGTTATGGTTAACCGAGGTCCACAGTGTATTTAAATTTGCTTTATCCTGTTCCATACTTTTTTCCGATATCTTTTTCTTGTTACATACTTTCTTAATCTGCAGGTACCTTTCTGTTGTTACTGACTTCTGTTTTATTCTGCACGCACTTTGTTGTAAGGTGCTTTTTTTGTCTTGTTTCTGAGACTTCCTTCCGCAGTTAGGAGGACTGGTCAGCTAGATTGTAGAGTAGGGTGCCCTCTGTGGGGATTCAGCCGATGTTTTCACATGGTTAGACTGGGGTCCTGGGTTTAGGGGAAGGGACCACAGGGGTCAGGTGTCCTCATCACATCCTGTTAAGGGTGCCTGCTAGCAATGTGATTTATGGCAGTGGATATGACCTTGATCATTGGGTCCTCCACCCTACAGTCTCTTTCTCCCCTTCCACCCCACACTCTTTGGGAGGAGGTTGTGCACAGCACATATTTGGGAGTGGGCCGGGGTTGCCCAGAGGTGGACTGACCCCATTCACCAAGGACTGGGTGTGAGAGCAGCAGCCTGTCAAGGGACACTCCCTGCTTCCGGCTCTTGTCAAAGTGGGCGAGGGCGGGGGAACTGGCTGGGGCAGCCTGGAGGCCTAGGAGCTGTGGAGTACGAGGTGGGCAGGGACCTCTGGGTCGGGTGTGCCCATGGTGTCCGGGAGAGCTGAGGGTGGGGGTCTGGAGGGTCGAGCACGGTCTGGCGGCCAGATGGAGAAAGCTGTGAGTTGGGAGGAGATACACTTGGTCTCTGTCCCCATCCCGGTTCTCGCCAGAGCTCCCAAAGCCCTTGGAACCCCCGAGTGATCAGGCGTTGCTCATAACGGGCCCCTTCCCTCTCCCTAGGGTTACACTGGGGGGTGCCCGTGGTTAGAGACTTGGGCCTTCCCACCCACCCCCGGGAGGCCAGGGGCCAAGCTCAGTGGCTAGTGGCCAAGGATGTCATCAGTCACTCCTAGGTGATGAAGGTGAACTCCTGAACAGGGAGGCTGGGGAGCCTCTGGGCTGGTGGCACTTGCCGACCCAGGACTTCTCTAGACCTCGCCCTGTGGACCTTGCCATCCGGATGTTCGCGTCCGCCCTTTATAATAACACGGCACTAGCAAGCCGAGCACTTTCCCACGTTCTGTGTCATCTAGCAAATTATCGAAACTGACAGGTTCGTGGAGACCCCTGAATTTGTAGTTGGCAGAAGTGTGAGCAGCCTGGGGACCCTGCTTGCACATGACATGCGAAGCAAGGGCAGTCTTGTGGGGACTGAGCCCTCGTGTGTGGGTCTGCACTAACTCCGGGAGTCAGGATCGAATCGTGGGACACCAGCTTGTGTGGGCCAGTTGCAGAAGTGGCAGTTGGAAAAGACATAAAACAGTGTTTCTAGGAGCGACTGGCCAGTGGATCACAACCCCGGCGAGCGGGGTGGGTGGCCGGATCCCCGGAGCCCGCTGTGGGGTGTCCTTCCAGGCCTAGGATGGAAGCTTTCAGAGCAGGGCGAGCATGGGAAGGGAGCAGATAGGAAAAGCTGTGTGACCACGCAGGGCGAGGGGCTCTGGCAGCTGTGACCGCTTGCTTGCAGGGGGCATATGCAGGGCGGGAGCCCTTTCCAAACCAAGTTCTTGAGGCGGGGGCTGGCTCAGTGGGGGAAGGGGACAGGCACAGGTGTTGCGGGGCTTCTGTTTGGGAGACAAGGCAGGTTCACAACTGGAGTGGTGTGTTATTCCCCATCTGCCTTTTTATTTTAACTGAAAATGTAATGTTTGAAACAAAAGGTTACCTTGCGAATAATGGTGAGTGAGCTCACGAGCCCAGCTGCCAACCTACAGCTTGAGGTTCTGCATGTAACGTTCCACGGGAATAGCCTTCTGTGGAAGAGAGAGTTGCCCTGCGGACGCTGGCGTCCGGTTGAATTACATGAGTGACAGCTGGAAGCCCGTGTCCCCAGAGGGTCCACTGGGAGCAGTGCCCTGCTCCGAGGGCGGCCAGGGCTGGTGCTGTCCCCTCCTCTGCCCATCTTTCATGCTCCCTTCTCCTGCTCTCAGATTGCTGGTTGGCACCCAGAGCCGCTCTGGGCCCTCCTGCCGCCCGGAGGGCCTTAGGGTGCCAGCCCACTGTTCCAGGCTCGCTGCCTGGCACCCCATTAGTTTCTGCCTCCCCCAGTGTCAGACGTGTCTCTCCACAGGCTGTTTTCCCAGCACAGGGTGTGACCACAGGTAGGCCTGAATGTTGGTCATGTGAATGAACCCTGAACTTATGCTTATGGGAACTAGAGTGAGTTAGAGAAAGCATAAAAAATACATCAGAATCCCCAAATTGGCTATATGCTCATCAGTATCGTTTGTCCAAATGCTTACTCTTGGCATTTGTTTTTTTAGTAATTCTCGCCCCCTCACGCTGGGTCATTTGGACTCCTCCCTTGCTTGCCCTGTGGGTCTGTCTGTGCGTTAGGGGTCATGGCCTCTATCCACCAGAGCCACGCTGGAGCGAATGGGGAGCGGTCACCTGGGGAGACGTCAAGGCCCGGACTCCGTGGGCCCTTGCCTGGCAGACCCTGGTGCCCCCACTTGGGACTCTAGGAGCCAGAGCTGACCCAGGCACCCCTCCTTACCCAGAGACACTGTGTCCCTAACTGGGGCAGCCCTTCACTTGGCCACACTCTGAGCCCTTCCCATGTACAAAACAGGCTTCCAGAAGCTTTCCCTAAAAACTTCCAGACTCAGACGTGTCGGCGCACAGTGCCTGGTTGGAGACTGACTTTCTTGTTTTCCCTTTGTTTTGTCATAGGCGGTCTGGGGAATCACGCCTGTCTCAGTTGCGCCAGTGCCATGGGGTTGATAAGCCGCGTGTAAGTAAATGAACGTCACTTTCTGCTTGTTTGGAAGTGGGGCCTTAAAAATACTTCAGTGATTGGTAACTCCCAGTGTACCCTACTTTCCTGTTCTTTGTCTTCTTTCTTTTAACTTCTGTTTTTTCACTTCGAAATAGATAACTGGATCCATTGGTGAATATTTGGAAAATAAATGAATACTCATGATCCCATTGCCTGTTACAAATATTATCAGCATTTTGGTGTGTTTCATTTTGCTCTTTTTTCTTATGTACCTGTTTTTAAGACATTCAGCGGTGACTACAGTCTGCGTAGAGGCTCGTGTGCTTAACGGGGCACATCTTTTCCACACTCACAGCCATTTGTAGTGGCCTTTTATCCATTTGTGGAAAACAACGGCAGATTTGCCAGGTAGCGCTGTCGGTTTGGGCTCTCGGCGAACACAGACAGACCACGCCTCGTTCACACGGTCCTTCATGGAGCGTCACGTTGACCACATCTGGCCACAGGGCTCGCCTTGTCCAGTTCTAGGGACACATCTGGTGCATGATGGACTTAGCCCTTCCCTTTGCTGGGAGGTCTGCGTCCTCCTGTGAGGCTGGAGGGCTTCCTGGAGGGTGTGTCACCCACCTTGTCTGCCGTTGCGTGCGGACTTGGATGTCCCTTCAGGCTGCTGTGCTCTCCTGCCCACCATCCGCTCTGCTTGGCCTCCCTGGGTATAACTCCTGATCTCCTCACCTGTGTGCTGGGATGCCCAGACCTCTGTCCTGGCACCAGGTCCTTGTCACTGCCTGGTCACTGGAGACAGTGGAGCTTGTCCCTTCCAGCATCTCTTGTTCTTCCTGTTTGAGGGGCGGGACCTCCTGCTGCGTGTGGTCCAGCTGGCCCCCAGCACCCCCCTGCATAGAGCTGCGGGATCTTTTGGGTTTTCTTACTCCTTTGAGATTGTTAATTTGTCACCTCATCTTGGCTATAAAACTTCTGGAGGATACTCCTAGGACAGATTTAATTCCCTAAAATAAAAGCTACACAAGTCACACGTGGGAACTTGGCCATTAGAGCAAAATTGTGCTCAAGCACATTTCCTGTTTTGAGGTATTTTTAAAGTGCTCCTGTCAGTGTCTCTGTTTGGGTGAGTGGTGTGAGGGCAGTGTCTGGCGGGGACACGACAAAGCCTGTTTGAAAGCCCTGCCAGCGGCAGCCTCCGGGCCCGCCTGCCCAGCGCTGGACTTTGATGTCTGCTGGGTTCTCCTCTGCGGCCACAGGACTGTCTTCATCATCTTCTGTTTCTGATGTGGGACCGTTAATGTACGAGCATAGGACGTCTTCACTCTTGCAGGTGGCATTTCAGAGGCCTGGGGCCCAGCGGGTGGCTGGAAACAGGGTGGCCCGGTGACCAGCAGGTACAGTCATGGTTGCCATGAAGGGTGTGGCCCCACAGGGCCGGCTTTCAGGGCTTTTCGAGACAAGCTGGAAGTCTGGGGTTTGGTGTGGAGTCTCTGCTTCTGAGGTCCTGATGGCTGAGGCTGGTTAGAGGGCTGCCGTGCAGAGCGGGTGTGCCTGCGGGGGACAGCCCCAGGTGTGGCGGGGGACAGTGCCTGGC